TTTCTTTCTTTCTTTCTTTCTTTCTTTCTTTTCTTCTTTCATTCTTTCTTTGAGTTGCTAAGTTGCTCAGGCTGCCCTTGAACTTGTTATCCTTGCCTTAGCCTCCATAGAGTGCTGGGGTTATAGGCACTGTCTTAGTTACCTCCCTTGTTGTCAAGACACAATACCAGACACCCACAACTTCAATTAGTAGAGGTTTATTTTGGCTCATGGTTTTAGTCCCTAGTTGGCTGGTTCCAAAGCAGGAAGGTGTAATGGAAGGGCCTCGGCAGAGGAGAGCTCTTCATGGCATGGCTACCAGGAAGCAGAGTGGAAGCCAGATGGGAGATAAACCCCCTGAGGTCACACACCCAGTGACCCACCTATTCATGGCAGAACCCACGTCTTAACACCAAGCCAGCTGTAGCACCCCTGTAATCCAATCACCATCCACAGGTCTAGACTGTGAGTGTGTGAGGATTTGGAGGACATCCAGATACAAACACAGCATGCCTGGATTTCTCAGCATTTTATAGGTTTCTACTTCCAGAATAAGAAGATAAAACATTATTCTAGGAAACAAAACAGTGAATAACACAGAAAAAGTACCTGCCATCATGGAACTTGTATTCTAACCTGGGAAGACAGAAAATAACTAGGATAAATTTAAAAACACATTTATGTAAGTAGATGATAATGTGTACCTTGAAGAATAAATTAAGGAAGGGGAGTGTTGTGGTGACAAGAGAGTGACTAAAGGGAGTATTTTCATCAACTTAGGCTGCTCTAACAAAGTACCTGACCAGGTGTCCTAAACCACAGATATATATTTCTTAAAGTTCTGGAAAGCTAAGCTTGTAGTAGAGCACTTGCACAACATGCACAAGACCCTGGGTTCAATATATATATATTTCTGGAGGCTAGAATTGATTTGGGATTCAGTTTCTGGCATGGTTTCACAGTGTGCAGCAGTGGCTGCATAGAGGACAAAGAACATTACTCAGAGACAGGACTTTAGTTCATTCACCAAAAGGACCCAGAAGGCTGCTTCCACAGTGTAAGAAAAATATAGCTGCATTGAGCTGAGAACTCTGTGGTTATTTATTTGTAACTCAAGAATAGGAGAACAAAGGAGGAAGAAAAACATTTGCTGCATATTGTGTAGGAGTTTTGATCAAAGGATGGGGCTGGAACATGATGATTTGTTATATGATACATCAACCTAGTTTGAATAATCTTGTTGGGACAGAGGGGACACAATGGCCAAAGCAAACATCTCAGAACAAACTCCTTGTAATTTTGCTGACTGTTGTCCTGCAGCTTCTATTCTAAACAATAACCATTGTTATGGTTTGTGTTTGTATGTCTCCCCCAAAGCCTCATGCAGTCATGGGGTGGGCTTCTAGAGTTTTTGATTGATCCATAGTCCAATGCTGGGATTATGGGTGTGAGTGCTACACCTGTCCTGGGGCAGGTAGTTTGCATACAATGTAAGGGAGGGAAAGAGGCTGCTGCAGCTCCTCCCTTTTGCTCTTGTTGCTTTTTGCTGTCTTCCACCATCATGAACGATTGCCCTCTGCTATGTGCTGCTCTTCCTTGGAGCCAGCGGAGTATGGACTGAAACCTCCACCAACTGTGACCTAAGTAAACCTTTCCTTCCTTAATTTGGAGTGTGAGCAGTAACACTTATTTTGTCTCAGCAACAAGAGAAAAGTAACTGAGACAACCATGTATTCCAGTAGTCTTGAACTGTTGTCCAGAAGGCTCCTTCCTGTTTTCACATGCGTTTCAAACACTGCTTTGGCCAGGGTCTTGCCACAGTAAGGGATCTCTCTTTACTTGTTAATGGCACCTTTTCACTATGTGCTTATGTGGTAGGCAGAGATAGAAAGAGAGCTTTCTGATAGCTCTTCTTATAAGGACATGGATCATGACCCAATTTCATGACCTAATTTAATGGCCTTCTTATAGGCTATGTTTCTACATACCATGACATTATGTGAACAGTTAGGGGCACAGTTCAGTCTGTAGAATTTGTCCCTTGATCATTCTCAAAGACACATCTTTATCACATGCCAAATATATTCATTACATCCTATGAGCCTCAAAGGTCTTGACTCAGTCCAATATCAACTGTCTAGTCTAACACAAAAAAATCTCATCTATATACCATCTAAGTCAATATGGGCAAGAACAGAAGCGTGTTTCATCTTTATGCAAAATTTCTCCCCAGATATAACCTATGAAATCAGATAAGCTATGTACTTCCAAAATACAGTAGTAAGACAGGATTATGTATGACATTCCTATTATAAAGGGGATAAGTTTCCCACCAAATTTTAAACCAAGCAAAGCATTTCCATTAAATTCATTAGATCTTAAAGCTTAAAAAATAACCTTCTTTGATGTGATGATTCTGCAACTCTGAACCCAGTGGTATGGCAGTCTGCCTCCAGAGGCTATTCATGGTGACTTTACCCACAAGCCTCTGTAATGGCCCAATGCCCAAAGCTTTGATTGAAAGTTTTCTGGTCTGTTGAAGATGGGGTGATGTCCTTACCCTTTGAAAATGATGAAGCAGTCCTGAGATCTTTGAATTGCTTTTGGTGTCAAACTCCTTTTGCTTGAAGAATGGCATATACACTCATAGTCTATTAAATCTATGGTTCCCTTTTACAGAATCCAAGAAGTCTCCCAGTAGTCCTTCATTTTTGTCCTGTCTTTGTAGCTTTCAGTTCAAACTGGAATTGTTAGTGCTGGAATAATTCTGTCTCTAATGTTGGCTGCTGCTGAGGTAGCTGTTTAACTTCATGGTTCAAAACCATACTGGTCTGATTATCAAATGATTGTTTAGGTACACACTTGGTATTCTGTCCAGAACAAGGCATCTCATTTTATGCCATATAGATATGCTGAAATTATTCAAACTTTCAAATTCTTGTTTCTCTTTTCTGAATAACTCATTTTCAATTCATCATCATCCTCTCACATTTCACTATAAGCAGTTAGGAAGAACCAATCCATTCCTTCAGTGATTTGCTTAGAAATATCATATACTCAGCTAAATATCTGAATATAATCACTTGCAACTTCTACCTTCCAGAAAACACTAGAACACAGATCAGTGAAAGTCTTCGAGTCTTTATACCAGGTATTACCTTTTCTCCCATTTCCAGTAGCACGTTCGTCACTTCTGTTGGAGACTTTTACAGCACCGGTTCTCACAGGTCTGTTCCTATTAACACTCTGCTCTTATTTTTTCCTTGAGAAGATGGGAATTATTCTCTAGCTTTCCTGTCCTCCTTTTGAGTCTATATTAGTCATTTTTCCCATCGCTGTTCACAGATTAACCCAAAACATTAAGAGGAGGTTCAACTTGGCTCATGGTTTCAGGGGATTCAGTCCATGTCGCCGTCTTCAAGGCTGAAACATCATGGCAGAGGGGGGTGGCGTAGCAAACCTGCTCAGCTAATGGCTGCAAGGAAGCACAGCAGGACAGTGTCAGAGAGAGAAGAACCAGGGGCCATTCATAGTTCTCAAGGTCACCTTTCCATAGCCCACATAGACATGCCCAAGAGTGTGCTCTTCTAATCTGCTAGATATTCATCTGATCGTGTGGACATATCATGATTAATGGCCAGAGTCTTCACTGAAATTGTGTTTAATGTACACATTTCTGTCAACAGTCCCATCACAGCAATCCAGATTCTAGCACGCCTCTCAAATCTCCTGTAGCCTTTACCAGTTACCCAGTTCCAGTGCTCCCACATTTTTAGTTAATTGTTACAGTAGCATTCTACTTCTCAGTAACAAAATGTTTAGTCTATTTGGATTGGTATAACAAAACTCCATGGGCTGTGTGATTTAAATAACAAAAATTTTTCTCACAGTTTTGGGTGTTAGAAATGTGTGATGAAGTTGCTGGCCACTTTGGTTTCTGGTGAGGACTCTTCTGTGCTTGTCTGTGGTTGCTTTTTTTATATCTTTATAGTGGAGAGAGAGAGAGGGAGAGAGAGAAGAGAAGAGAAGAGGAAGAGGAGACAGAGAGAGAGAGAGAGAGAGAGACCTATATGAATATATATAAGTTCTATATTGTCTCTTTCTGTATGGACATTAATCTTGTGAGATCAGGAACTCACCCCTTTGACCACATTCATTCTTCATTACTACCTTATAAGCCTTATTTCCAAATGCAGTCGTATTGGAGGTAAGGACTTCAACATGTGAATTTTGCAGCCCACAATGAGGAATTATAAATTTTTCTTTTCTTTTGTTCTTCAGAATTAATGCTAATTAATGAGAGCTAATGCTTTCTTTTTTTCTTTTTTTTTTGGTGGTGGGGTTAGAACCACGGCTGTGTGCATGCAAGGCAAACAGCATCCCCAGCCCTGAGCTAAT